CGTAGGGATTCTGGCACCACCACTCTATCTCCAAACATCAAGCATTCATTTACGACACATAACGAGACACGACGATGGTTGAGAGTGGTGGGTCTAGTCGATCGGAAGTACAAGTAGTCCAAAAGACAACTAACCAGAATAAGTGCGCTCCCGCTACATTCAGTCCAACTCATTTCAGCCCAATTCGACAGACCAGAACAAATCCCTTCACTCCTTGCTGGCACTGTGGTGCATGGCACTACGTACGAAATTGCCCATCAGTCAGTCAGTCAGCGACAACGTAGGACCAGGCACATATATGCATCGGTCCAAGTTGCCATATCTCGTTAGCACAACAAGATGAACACCGGATTCATTGAAGTAATTAATTTGGTGGTGGTAGTATATAAAGACAGAGTTGGATGGAGAATGCTGGTGGGCAACCTATGCACCTCCACGAGGGGTAACAGGCATAAGTGGAGTAAGTTAAAAAAAAATAGATAAATGTCTAAGATTTTGATTTTCCAGTCTGTACATTGTATTCACTTTATAACCTTTATTGTAATCAGTGTCATTCATCAATTGTTATACTTGAACTTCTAAGGTTCATTTATAAATAATATTAATTAAAAAAAAACATTTTGTTTTATAATGGACATTCAATGAGATGACAATGGTTGGGTTGAAAATTTTCTAAATTCACTTTTATGTACTTTAGTGTTTTTAATACATGAATCAAGGTTGTCTGGTTATTCAGATTTGTTTAACTATTGTCGTTATATTTTCCAATCCCTTTTATTGTCTTATAAAGGTTGTCTAGATTTTATCCATTATATTCATTGAAATGAATGATGACCTCATGTAGAATAATAGTGAAATATGTGCGTTATAAGTAAAGATGGATAGTGGTTAGTAGTGGAATCCAGTTTGACGCACGTTTCCTCCGATTCTGGACTCGTCAGATGGATGTACATGAATCCCAAAGTTGATGTTCACTCTGAGACTCAAAACCATTACCGTTATCTTCAAATGCCATCACGTTATCCACTTAGCTAGTGAGTTCTGATAACCAATAGTTTGTTTAATGGGATGAAATTTAATTAATTTTTGCATTGGTTATTTGAATTTTCCCATCTATGTTCGAGGCGCCAATAGATCAACCTCTTACTGGCATATGTGCACGTCCTGAACTCCACTGCTAGCCACTATCCATCTTTGCTTATAATGCTTGTGACTGAAGGCAATATCGAGACATTTCACACAAGATACACATATGCCAATAAGAGGCTGATCACTTACAGTCGTAAACATCAATGGTAAGATTCAAACAGACAATTTAAAATAAATAGGTAAAAATGTTTCACAACAGTGAGGAAATCAATTTATCCACACTTGGAATATTAGGAAACCTAACCAAAAAGGGCAAGAGCACTAAACACTTTTCAATTTTCATTTAGGTTATTGGTTATTTCTGTCAATATTTCTCTGTTGTTTGATATTCTTACTAATCGAAATGAATTATTTGAACTGTTATATTTTCAATTACAGCGAATATAGATCCTTTTGTTTTCAATGTTCAGAAAGAAGCTCTTAAAATCGTCAAAAGTTTGATTTCCAACTGAAAAACTTTCGAATGTTATGTGTAAATCACGTGCACAGAAGATACTGACGATTTCATTTCCTTAACACTTATTTAAAAAATTCATTCAGGATTAAAAAATTCATTCAGGATTAAAAATCATGACAGACTGTGTCACAGACAACGATTCGGTGAACATAAGTACCCGAATTTCGTCTTGGTCTCACATATAAACTTACAAGGTCATAAATCTTACCAATTCATTTGGTCCACTTACAAATAATGCTGTTTTCCAATGCATTTTTTCAATAAGTCAATTCGCAGACTTTTTGAGAGCTTGTTTTGTTCATCAATAACATAATCCGTATCTTATTTCATGCATTGATTGGATAAATTATATAACTAGATATATATTTTCAATCCTCATTGTTTCTTGCATAACGTTTTGATTATTACTGTGTTGTGTTGTATATCTAAAGTTATCACTATTACTGTGAAATAAAAATGAGTTCTGATTATTAGACAACGGTCTACACTATGTTCCTTCCCTCCCTCTCTGATGTAATATGACCCCGGTTACAAATAATAATAATATTAACTATAATCTGCTTTGTTTATTATCTTCTAAGGTAAGATTTTATTTAACGCTTAAAAACAACAATATCAGACCAATTTTTCAATGAAAACAGAATAATCGGTATTGGGTTGTGGAAATATGCACTGCTGAGGTGCCCCATAATTAGACGAAACGGCCATCTTATGCTTCTAAGTTTTCAATGGTGGTCTCACATTGATCAGTCCACGATCTCGTTGTAAAAACATTTTATATTCATGACAAAAAATATTATGTTTAAATATATACTGTGACAAGTTTCACTTCTGTTTTTCTTAACAGAACATTACCTAAATGAGATTGAGCTTAAAACAATCCACATTGATAAGTGTTCATTGATAATGTACATGATAATTTACACTAGAAATTTCGAGTGCAGTTTAAAAATGATGATAATGTTGATGATGAAGGTCAAAAAGTTAAGAAAAGTAACTGGACTGTAATAATTTTAGTTGATTAAGTCTTGACTACTAACAACAAATTGACGTCATTTAGTAATTCACTACTATTCGTTGAAGTAGAGATCAAATAGCTTTGAAGGATTAAATATTAAAGGAATTAATTAATTAAAATAGTTAAGATTTGAAAAATATGATAGATGGTTTCAATAAATAACTGAGTCGTAGGAGAAAATCACTGTTTCAAGTACTCATGGATCATGGTTTTAATTATTTTTCAGTTGCAGATGGCCACACTAAACGATAATATAAATGAAGTAAAAAATCTGAAACCTCAACATCAAAATTCTCTATGGTAAAGGAATTATTTATATTTTGTGTAAATTTGTACTTACTTAGTTACTTACGTCTGTTACTCTCAATCGAGCATAGGGAGTCAGCTTAATTGCTGTTCTCTGAACCCTTTCCAAGAGTTCACTGTCTTAGTGTGTATACTTAATACAGTGTTTTGTGATCATGAAAGTAATATAGTTTTCATTCAATTAAAACTCCATTTTAATTAAAAAAAAGAGAATTCAGGGAAGAAAATTTTCTTTTCGACGGAATCATTTACTTAAGCTGTACATTCGTATATATAGTCAATTGGACTATCTGACCCATAAATTATTTTATCCCTTACCTCTTGATTAGTATGTCACCTCATTTGTTATTTATTGTCGAATCAATTTATAATGCAATGTTTCCTAGACTCCTGTAGACATATATTTTCCATATAACTATATAAACGAATGTACAGCTTGAGTAAATGATTTCATCGAAAAGAAGAATGTCTCAGCTGAATTCTCTTTTTCTTATTCAATGACATTATGAGTTATTTTAATATCGGGATTCATTGATATTCAAATACTGAAATAATCTCAGAGATCACATTTATAGGGAATGTTTTCATAGAAAATTGATAAATCTTTACAGGAGTTTGAAAACTGGTATCTATTATTGATGATAACTAAAAAGTTTTCATAAATAAGATAGTAGTTCATTGCAATACAGAGTCAACGAATCACAATTGATTGATCACTAGGTGGTGATCAATCTCATGCGTGACAGGTCCTTAGTGCTGATCGAATGCTATCGATCAAGTTGCAATGTGGCCACCAGTCTAGGTGGCTCGACACTGTGTGCACTATATATATTAGGGTAACATGGTGGTTAGAGGTGGTCAACAGGAAACCCTGGACCCGGGTTTTGTGGTAACGTCTCTGACTGTGAAGCTGAGTGACGCGGGATCGAATCCGCCAGGGAGCATCAGTTCCCTCAAGATTACAGGTACACCTTGCTGATGAGTGCCAAGTAGCACGAAACCCGGGTCCAGGGTTTCCTGTTGACCACCTCCAACCACCATGTTAGAGTCAACGAATGCTTAGCACAGAACCCTTTCATTAGCAGAATATTAGATTATGAACAAAATATTATGCCATTCAACATTTATGATGCTATCCTACCAAGTACAATCAAAGACACAACGGTATTAGCTTTGATGGAACTCTTGGTTCGGATGTTATATCCCAGAGTCAGTTTTTTAAAAATAATTTTTATGAACCTATCAAATTTATAATACGATTTTCACTTCAGACAATAATAATATTTACATTTTTTTTAACCAATAAGATCAAAGGCTAACTAACCGTACGAATACATTTTTTTGATTGGTTAATAAATTTTATTAATCCATTTATATATTCATAAAGTCAATGTGTTGACCAGACTGACACATTATCAAAACTATTCAAGTCTGTTTATCTTAATGGATACATTTTCTATAATTGAATTTATTTAACTCTACTTAGTTACACTATAAACATAGGGGTGATACAGTATGAGCTAATTTGTTCTCATTTCGTTATTCAAAAATACAACAATATAACATTTATACTACATTCAAAGAAAAGTATTTTGTTTTCCATCTCTCCTCTTTCCCTTTGTATAACTCTTTACAATTCAACAATCTCAGATAATGTATGCATAAATTTTTGTTTTAATTAACCAATAGATTGTATATATTAAATTTACATATATAGTAATTTGTTACTAGGCCCCCTGTGATTTTAACGATATACATATCGCTCCATCAAATAAATTTCACATACACACCATATTATTATTATTAGTCCATTAAACAATCGGAAATATGATTTTTGTTTCTATGCATTCACTGATCATCTGTACAATATTGCTTAATTAAAAAAAATAGCAGTACATAAAAGTTTATGCGCCCAGATATTTACCTAATCCTTTATTACTTTCTCAATTACTTCAACTGAATACCGGATTATAAAAGTCTCCCTTAAAAAAGGATATATTTATGTTCGGTGAATGTTTCAAATGGAATAATAATTAAACGTTTTTTTTATTATAAAGAAACAACAATAACATGTTTATTATTCGGTAAGTATCTACCTTTTTTATATCAACTAAATTGTTTCCAGGTTTAATATTATCTTTCTCATAAATATTTATCAGAAGGGATTTTGTGGAGATTTAGTATTTTCATAGTTGAAAGCGTGAGTCAATTGAAGCTAGATCACCAGGGAAAACCTGGGTTTGAATCTTGCGAGGCGAGGTCGTGGATGCGCACTGCTGAGGAATTCCGAAATAGGACGAAATGGCTGTTCAGTGCTTCCAGGTTTTCCTTGGTGGTCTAGCTTCAATTGACTTACACTTCCAACTATCATCAATATTTCTCCATATGATTATCACTATGAAGTCTATTTAGACTTAAATGTTTGTCTTAAATCACCTACTTATTGAACTAATTTCTACGAAATCTTTTAATATTTAAACAATTTTTGTTATAATTAAGTGGAGAACAGTTATTATCGAGAATAAGGCTAATATTAATAATGAAATTCTTTGATAATCACTCCAGACGATGAATTAATTAAATATGCTAGTGTAGATTATTGGATACTAACCCCTCAGTCAGATGTAAAGCTCTGGCCATGAGAACAATGGGGAAGGTATGAATGTGCGCTCCTGAAGAGTTCTTGCTAAGACGAAACAGTTGCTACAGGTTCATTGATCTCTAAAGATATCATGTCTTTCTCCAATAAATAGCATCTACACACTGTTTCTCCAATTTCCATCGATCATGTAAGAATAGAATGGTGTAGTTAATGCATTTTGGGGTAACTGTTCGTAAGTATGAATGTCATCAGTGCAATCTAGATCTCCTTTTACTTGTTAGACATGATAAGATTTCTTTTTAACGGTTAAGAACACTAGTTCATAGAAGGTGAACTTGATATTGTTTGAATAGTTAAATGTTTTTCTATAATTAGCAAATCTCTTATTTAATAAGCGTAAAGGAAATTTCATAAGCCTCTGTGTAATTTTTTTTTAAATTGCCGATATGTGTTCTTGTTACTACTACTTGAATATCTTAACGGAATCATTTCATTTCTAGTAGAATGAATTTGAAAGATTTCGGAAAGTTTCTACTTCTGAGTTATTCATCTAAGTTAAAGATTTCACTCGGTCTGCTATTAACAAATAAATATCAGATATTACTATTGAGTTTACATAATAATTGAACTAAAATAGTTACACTGTTCAATAATCAAGTCATTCATTTCAGTAAATGTAAATTTGATCTAGTTCAGCTTCAACTACTATAAAATAATTCAAAGTTATTGGAATGTTGAATAGTTCTGAAGTAGTTTAATAACTTTTCCGTAACAACTAAGGTATTTAGGACACGTGCCATGCATATCTAATCACGGGATACTCCTATGTGCAGTGATGGGTAGCATGAGAGTTAGCAGAAAGATAGGTTAGGTTGGACAGACAGTAGACGTGTCAGAAGTTGATAAAGTCATGAACTATAGGTTTAAGTCATATCAGTTGGCGCAGAATTCATGGTCAATACCTACTTGGTCATCGTGATAAATGACTGAATACTTTATATAACTCAGAATCGATCTTAGAGGCGTAGTTGCATTCCCTCCTAAATATCCTCAGTTGTGTCATTCATTTCATTTGAATCATCTAATTTATATTTCCTCTTCTATATTACTACCGAGGTTGATTTTGTTATTTCTTTCCAGTTTAATATGTCAGTAATTCCTACTCATATTATGAATTGAGTTGTGGCAACTTCAACTGACATATTTGTACTAGGTTCTACGTTGTATATAAATTAAACCTAAGAGATTTTAAGGATTCACCGTTCTATAACATAAACACATAGACATTAAAAGTGCCATTAATGTTGGTTTGCCATAGATAACCAACTTCTGTTTAATTAGATCTTTCTCATTTCTTTGCATTTCATAAATAGCATTCATAGACAGGTGAAAATTGTTAACAAAAAACGAATACTATTTATTTAGTGATCCTGTTTTTAAAAGACAATTTTTCAGTTACTTTCTTCTTGGATAAATTTACTTAATTGCAAGAGAGTCATTAATTGAAAGTCGATTGTATTTCTTTTCCAGTACGTTGTTCTATCGATAGATAAGTCTAAGTGATTAATTCTGAAATTCCTAGACAAAATAAGTTATTCTCCTTCTTCTTCGGCGAAAATTTTTATTGATTACAACTTTTACGTAATTCGAATATCTTTGTCGGATAAAATTATTTTTTCGTACAAACAAAATAATTTACAATCCAGCTGATCAAAAGTACATTTTTCCCATGTGAAAAAGAATATAGTGCTTGAAACAATTGCTTTATGTAATTTTGGCAAGTAATTCTCACCTAATGACGTCAACTAATAAACTAATATTGAAAATAACATGAAAAAAAATAACCGGAAAGCTGAGCTGTTCTAGTTTGTCGAATAAGTGTAAAGCGTAGTGAGATGTTTGAAATACAAATCAAACAGCTGTTCAGTATGAGAAGGAAACTGTTAATTTCCTCTACAAATTCCAATGAACTAATTTTTAAAAATTATTGTTTCGTTTTGAGTCTTAAACACTGAAAAATCTAAAAAAGGTTGAAATTTTTTTAAGTCGTTGGAAGTGGTTAGTAGCAAACTCTGAACTTAGATGTCGTGTTGATTGGATCTCTTCAGCAAGGTCGACCTGCGATACTGACTCAGTTAATTGTATATGTCTTTCTGATGAGACTTTAATTTATAAATGACCTTTAAACGACGCCAGAGTGATCTTGAGAAAATTCACCCACTTACAGAGTCAAAAGAGAATTGTAGATTAGTGTGAGAAATCGGAATCGGGATTCGGAGTAAGAAGTTAAGGTTAGAAACTAGGGTTAGAGTTTTCATCACGAACTGGCATCATATGTAATGTCAAAACCCACTTCAGCTTCATAGATTAGTGAACTTCATGTCAAAGTCTCTTTATATTATATTTAATTGGTTCGTTTATAAATTATAGTCTCGCCATCTGTCTCACAGTAGGTTATTTGCTGTCTGAATGCCCTACGTCGCAAATCATGAAGCTGTGTGGTAAGGATTCGAATTCTACAAAGACTACCAGTTCCCCATATATTGAAGGTCGTTTTTATGGTTAATACTGACTATCCTAAAACCTGTGTCGATCAGAATTCCCTGCTAACCATCTCTGACCATATAAAGTCTCAACATAGTGTACGTGATGTCAAGTCACTGATACTGTTGTGGATATTGTAGTTTAGTCATTTTAATTCAATTAGCACTCAGAGGACTAGAGAAAAATGGCATTCGTCATTACAGAGTGACCAATCAGTTGTTACTTTCGAAATTATAATTATGTAATATGATAATATCGAAGAGTTGAAAACGGTCTATAGCTGACTTTTATGCTGAGAGGTTTGTGAAGACGAATCCAATTTGTTTTCAGTTTATTATCATAACATGACTATAATTAGGAAACCACTCACAAATAATATGCACAGGATAAGATTCATTAGAAATGCTCACTCTGGACGCCCTGACAAAAATTGATCCTAATCATGCCAAAGAAACTTTGCACTATAAAAATGCACACAAGCGATAATCAAATATCAGCTAATTTATCTACAGAAGTTCCTAATTTTATGACTGAATTCTAATATTAAACGTATATTTGTAGAAAACAATACGAACAACAAAATATTGTTAAACTACCCGATAAGACATACTTGCGACGGTTTATCTTACTTATTGTTATTTAATTAAAATCCGAGTTTGCAAGTGATTAACCACTGAGTAGTGACCAATGTCATATTTGTCCACTATTTTAGGTGGTCATCGAACTCTATCGGTCAATTTGTGATATACCAACTTGTTTGAGTGGCTCAACGTCGATAGCACTATGTTAAGATGTAAGGTGGTGATTAAATGTGATCAGTAGGGTTTCCTAACATCCTGCTCATCAGTTAGCCATTCTACTCGCAAGGATGATTCTCTTTAATTTAATCTCTCCAAACAGTTTTTAGCATCTGGTATAAATACTAGATTTGACTAACTAGGTTTTCACATACATATTCACTATAACTTTCGATTCATATCAGTATGTCATTTGATACATTCTATACTGTCCTAATTATTCATATATTTCGTAATATAACCTTACATTTAATTAGGTGTGGTTTAGTCAACTAGTACTTATTGGGTATTCATCTGAAGAAATTCTGTTGAACTCATTAATTTCATGATGTTTCTTTGTAGTTGTCCACTTAAATTAGAATATCTGTACATTGGATTATGAAGAAAATCCACTGCTGTGAGAATGAGTGAAGTTTTCCATGGTTTCATAACCAAAAACACAAATGTTAACTTGTGAATTACGTATATCAATTCCACTTCACCTACTATGATTCCAGATAGCTGAATGGTCTCATTCATCCTTACCATAATACACTTAGTAGTTCGAAGTTATATCGAATAATTTGTACTTGATTATTAACAAAATAGCGAAATGCTGAGCATTCGTTTCCGCTTCAATTGTTGTCCATATGAGACTTAGACAAGATGAAATTTTCACAAAATCTATGTAAATTGATTTATTCCTCTTCTAAAAAAAGCCGAATGAATTATGTATAGAGTGAAGAGGTTTAAAAAAAAGATTTGTGTAACCATGTAGTGGGAATGACTTCCGTTTAATAAAGGTAACATGATATAACCTAATGTATAACAATAGTAACAGTAACAATGCCTATACATTCCAAACAACTAACTACTACTTGAATGATTTGATATGATGTTTTTCTCACGAAACTGAATTAGGAGAAAAACTGAAGTCGTAGTATAGTTCGAATAATTAACCTTCGAATTTAAAAAAAATATTTGCACATTATGAGTAGACACTTTTTGACAGAAATCCATACTACGCAGAGTGAAAAATAAACACTATCCTTTTGTTAAAGTTGGATAGTGGCCATTAGTAAAATTCAGGACGAGCGTTCCGTCCTATTCGAGACACACTGACTGAACATACTCGGATCTAAGTGTTGGTATTTACAATGAG